TAGGAGTGGCTGCTCCGAGGAGGTGTCTAGGAGTCACCATTGAAAGAGATTCAAGGCCTGCCTGGTGGATGAAGAAAGGAATCGGGAAGAGGATCTTACAGGCAGAGCAGCAGCGGGGAGGAAAGACACTCATGCTCTGTCAATTATTGGTCTGGTTAAGAAGGGGCAAATCTCTCTCCAGCAGGTTTGGAAAGTGGAGTGATGAAAATATGAGTTTAATTTTTAGGTTTTGGGTGGTTTTATTTTATTTTTACCTTTATAAATTTGCAAGAGAGAGAACAAATATTAAAAGGTGCTTAATATATAAATCTATAAAAATAATCATAAAGTATACTTCTATATTACCAACAGCACTAAAACATAGAGTATTTCATAGAAAAATGTAGTTCTCGGGCTGGGGCTGTAGCTCAGTGGCAGAGCGCTCACCTAGCATGTGCGAGGCCCTGGGTTTGATCCTCAGCACCACAAAAAAATAAATAAAATAAAGGTATTGTGTACAACTACAACTAAAAAATAAATATTAAAAAAATGTAGTTCTCCACTATCACAAAACTAAATATGGATTATACATGGAAATGGTTAAGTTATTAATTAGACTGTTAAATACTTAAAGAATTGAGTTTGTAAACCAGAGTCCTAATGATATACTGCCTTGGAGCTCATTTTTTTATTATATCATTTTTTTTATATACTATTGAATTAGTTTACACACACCAGATGGGTTTTTTCGGCAAATAAAAAAGGACCTAGGACGATCATGTTGGTTTGGTCTTTCTTTCTTTTTCTCTTTATTCTTTCTTTTTTTAATACTGGGACTTAAACCCAGAGGCACTTTCCCACTGAGCTATACACCCAGTCCTTTTTTTATTTTTTATTGTGAGATAGAATCTCACTAAGGTACAGAGGCTGGCTTTGAACTTGCAATTGGTTTGGTTTGACCAGGGACAGGACAAGAGCCCCCTTCCCCTGAGCAGAGGCAAATGTGGCAGTTTACAGGAGTAGATGAGGTAGGCTAATATTGGGGAATCCTTGTTGGGGCTGGAGGTACGAATCCCTAATTTATGATCCTGTTTTCTGAGAGAAGAAGGTGGTCAGCAGATAGAGGCTATGATGGTGAACGTGGGCCCTGAAAAGATGGTAAAGGCTTGGAATCACCTTCTGGGGAATGGAAGAAGCCATGGATTAGAAACAAGAATTCCGGGACCTTGAGAGCACAGCTCAGGTTGGAGACTGTGACTCCATATCTGCTCCTTGATATTGAACTTCTTCCTGAAGCTCTCCACAATCCAGCATAGGAATAAGAAAGATGGCTGGACTGAGCTTCTGTGAATGGACTAGAAGGTGAAGGGGGGCCAGAATGGCAGATGTTATGAAAAGGAAAGTGTCAGAACTCATGTAAAAAAACACCTCAGTCCCTGTCCCAGAGAGGTGTACATGCCAAGTGAGGACACAGGAAATACCAGTAGGAAAAGATAACTCTAAGACAAGTTCTCATGTGTCTGAAGGGAAGGATAACGGGAGCCAGCATTGAGTGTCGGTTGTTCATGGTCGAGAAGGTCTCAGGGCCACAGCCACTGCCGTTGCTACTGCTCAGCAGCCTTGGGGGGCCTTTTCCGGTGGCTAGGAAAGGAAGAGTTAAAATAGAAACTCTGCAGAGAAAGGGCAGGGGACCCAGGTGATGAACTTTAGCACAGCCTCCGGAAGAAGTGGCCTCAAATATAGAGGACTGTCAAGGAGACCATCTGACTCGCAGGGAGTCCCATTCGGCCCTGCAGCCTGATTCAAGCTGGAGCCAACATCAGTGCAGCTTCCTACAACCTGGACCTGCTGAGCAGAGGAAGATGTGAGGCCTGAGGCCCCCAGAGAAAAAGCAAAGGAAGGTCTCAGAGAGAATATAGCTTCCACCAGCCAACACGAGGATGTTGAGGTTTTCTCAGCTTGAGCCTGTGCTACTAGGCTTGGGGGAGAGGAAACAGAGGTGGTCCCTGCTGTGGTCTAAGTGAATAGAGCCCAGTGAGATCCCCAAAGTGCAGGGCTGGGACAGCCCTAGTCAAGCCAAACTCAAAATCACAAAGTATCCTCCACAGCCTGCAGCCCGCTTCTCTCTTCCTCTCAACTTAGCTTCAGACTGACCATATAACTGCTCTTCTCAGGCAAAGGAACTCCCTCCCCTCTATCAGAATGGGCCTAGCCCAGGGCCCCGATAACTGAATTGTCTCCTCTATGATAGAGAACTATCTTTCTCCAAGGTAACTATTGTGTTTGCCTTCCAAACCCTGTGTTTTCTTTGCTTTTGTTTAGTATTCCTCTGCTTAGATTGTTCTACTTTGTTCTTAACACCTAGACACTCTTCCCCCAAGGCCAATCCCTGGGGTCCCTATCTGAAGGACTCACCATCTTCTCAGCTGCCATTTCACTCAGAAGGGATCCTGCCTGTCAGAGACACTTAGCATTTTCTATCTTCCTGTATAGCTGTTATTGTGCACACCTATTTTCCTCTGTCTGAAAGAAATTCTTATGGGTAGAATTAACATGTTTCTTCTGTTTCCTCACAAAAGCTTGCACAATTCTTGGAGCATTGTTAGAGCTTCATGAATCTGTTTAATTCATTCAAGAGTGACTCTCACCAGGCACAGTGATACACACCTGAAATCCCAATGGATTGAAAGGCTGAGGCAGGAGAATCGAGAGTTCAAAGCCAGCCTCAACAACTTAGCAAGACCCTGTCCTTAAAAAAAAATATAAAAAGACTGGGGATGTAGCTCAGTGGTTGCCCCATGTTCAATCCCCAGTACCAAAAAAAAAAGAGTGACTCTTCATTTAACTCCCCAAAGTGACTGTAATATAGGAATTTCACACAGAATATTAGGGAGGCCTTATAGGCACCACATCCCTGCAATTTCACTCCCCACTCACAGGCCCTCAGAATAAAGAAACAGTAGCCCTCAAGTAACATGAAATCCCCACACACAGCTTGATTTAACCACTTTAGAAAATAGTGTGACAGCATTTGCTGTGTGGTAAGTATGTTCCCATACCCCACAATTCTACCCTGGAAATATACCCAACAGACATGCCTGTATAAAAAGCTTGTAGCAGCATCATTATATAGCAAAAAAAAATGGAAACAACCCAAATGCTCATCAATGATAGAATGGATAAACTATGATACAGTCATATAATGAAACACTATGCCACCATGAAAATGATCAGTTACAACATAGAGAATTTCACAAGATATTGACCAAAAGAAGCTAGGCATGAGAATGCATACCAAGTGATTTCACTTATAGCTGGGTAAAACTAACCTATGATGTTAAAAGTCAGAACAGTGGTTTTATTTGTAGAAGAGGAAGTAGATAATAGAAAGAACACATGATAGTTCCAAGGGTATGTCCATTTAACAATAACTCTCTGAGATGTACATTTATAATTTTTGTGCTTTTCTGTACATATCTTGCACCCTAATAGGAAAGGTTTCTGTAGAGATTGGTGGCACGTCCTATAATTCCAACCAATTGAGAGGCTAAGGCAGGAGGATCACAAGTTCGAGGCCAGCCTGGGCAACTTAGTGAGATCCTGTCTCAAAATAAAAATAAAAAGGGCTAGGAGTACATCTCAGTGGTAGAGATCCCCTGGGTTCAATCCCCACTACTGCAAAAATAAATAAATAATAGGGTTTGTTTATAAAGACAATAGCCAGGTTACCCCTACAGTGATTTCTACGGCTGAATTCCCTTCAGGATAGTGCTGCAGCCAGGTTTCTATGTCTTCTAATCTCTCTTCTAGCTATTTGCATCATTCTTACTTTGAGAGGAGGTGCGTCGAGGAAGAGATAACTAAAAATGACTCCAGCCTTCTACAGCCGACCTGGATCCCAAACAGAACAGCCCCAATTAGAGAGCACTCCTTTAGAAGGGAAAGTTTTCACATGATCTACATAAATAGCTGGCAATCCTCAGAGATAATTGGAAAGACACTATCCCTACTCTTTTTTCTCCAGCATATCTTCTCACCCTATACCCAAAGTACCTCAGGATTCACAGTCTCCATCCCATCCCTTCGGATTTCCTTAGAATGAACAACTAAAACTTAAATTTAGGGACCAAATGAATGTTAGGGCCCAGGCTCACTCCTGTGGGCAGTGATTTGAAGGTTCCTGCTCCCCTACATATCTGACCCCAAAATCATTCCAGTCTGCCTCTAAGATGCCTGTAAATAATTCATGTATTCACTCAATAAACATGCTTTGAGCACCTACTAAATTGGGCCCCATGCTCTGCCCTGATCACAGCTGTAATTTTTCTATTCATTCTGGTGACAGAATGTAGATTCCATGAACAAAGGAGCTATGGACTTATTGAGCACTGAATTCTCAATGCCTAGCCCAGAGGCTGGTACAGAGCCACTCAAAACGTACTCAAGGAAGGAAGGGGAATAGAGAGGGTGCTGTTGTCATGGAAATAAATATTTATTGAAGGTCTTGCTTATGTCTAGATGGTGAGGGTACGGCATGAACAATGCACAAAATCCCCTGATCTCAAGTTTTGCATCCTACCAGGCTGAATAAATAAGTAAACAGTGTAGTCTATAAGATGGAGATGGGAATTATGGAGAAAAATTAAGTGGAGCAAGAGATAAGGGGTTGCAATATAGTATCATGGATGAGGAAGGCCTCATCAAGAAGACAGTATTTGAGCAAAAGCATGAGAAAAAGGAACAAGTTCAGGGCCAAAGAGGAAGCAGCATAGCAGAAAGAGAAAGTTGTGGATACAGAGCCTTCGCAAAAGTTTTCCTAAGATTTCCCTTTCTCACAAAGCAAAAGCCATGCATTTTCCAATGACCTAGGTGAGCTATGTGATCGGGGCCACCTCCCCTTCCTCTCTCTCTTGCTCACCTCATTCCAGGTGATCACATAAGGTCTGGATTCTAATCTCCCAAAAGGACACAGCCCCGAGTCTATGGCAGCCCTCACCCCATGTCAAGCTGAGGATCCTTACCTTGGCCGTGATGCCCCTTGAGGAGCAAGAGATGCAGGAGGGTGACAGCTAGCCCCAACATCCCCAAAGGGGCCCCTCGCTCCCTCCGACACTCAGCTGTGCACGGGCTTCACTGTCACCAGTCAGCAGGAGAAGGAAGGGGAGAAGTGCCTGGCTGCCTGTCCAGCCACAATTTCCTCAACTCAAGGCTGTTCGCTTCTGCTGTGAGTTGATGAAGCCACTGAAAAAGTCCCAGCCCCCAGATCTGCTCTGAAAGTTCCCACAAGCTAAGCTCGCGAAGTTTGCCTCAAATGGGCAGGTGCTCAGAGTTTGCTGTGACTCACAAAACCAGTTTCAAAATCTTATCCCTTGCTCTGCTCCAGTCCAGCTGCTTCATTCAAAAGGCAGAGGCCCCGGATGTGTCCCTTCATCCTAGTGGTGGTATGCAGAGACCAACAGGGGGCCCGAACAGCCATCATCCCAGCCTGTGCCAGTCCAACAGATATTGTGGAGATGAAGGGGAAAGATTTGGGGGAGGATGTGGGCTGAGCAGCAGAGCCCTGGATAACTTGAAGGAGAGAAGGAGTAGCTGGGGTGACACAGGAAAGGACCTAAGCTTTGGGGACAAAAGAAAAATCTGACAGGCTCAGGGATCCTATGTAGTTTGATACCCAAGTTTAAGAACATGCAAATTATATTTGTTTCAGAAAAATCTGCTTTTGCTCCAAGTGTGCCATCAATACCTCTGTATTCCTTCCCTTTCTCTTTCTCTACTTTCCTATAGTAGTTCTTTCTTCTTCCTCTTGCTTTCCCTGGAAGCACCTGGACTTATTTTTATTCCCCTCCCCATCCCCCTAGTGATTCCAGCCTCCACAAGACCAGGCATCTTTGGATTTTGGGGGGCTTTTATGGAGAGATGGGGACAGTGATATCCTATCTCCCCCTTAGGGTTTGCTTCAAGGCCATACTCTAAGATTAATGCCCCTTTTCTTCTTCCTTCCCCTTAGAAACAAACCCGTTCAGTCCTCCCCCTCCCCAAGTCCTCCTTTCTTTTTTTTTTTTTTTTTTTTTCATCCTTTGATTCTTTTCCAGTCGCCCTGTTGGAAGCTGGGCAGAGGGGAGGCAGACTGAGACCCTCCGTTGCCAATGGAAGCAGCCATGGTGCTCTGGACAGAGCACTGGATTTGGAATAAAAAATTTGGACTTGAGGCTCAGTTCTGCATTTACACCTGTGTGATATTAGCCCACTTACTTTCTGGGTCTTCAGAATCACCATATTTGGTTCTCCTTCTTCACAAAATGGTTTTCAGCATCAAATTAACAACTATGCCTGAGACTTTTTATGTAAAACTGGTGCAATAATCTGAATGTTTGTATCCCTTAAAAATTCCTATCCAGAGATCGAATCACCGTTGGGATGGTATTAGGAGGTGGAGTCTTGGGGGAGGTGATTAGGTCTTAAGAGATAGCCTTCTTCAATAGGATTAATGCCCTTATAAATGAGGCTCCAGGGATCTCACTTGTTCTTTCTTCCACATGAGGACACAGCAAGAAGCCAGCAGTGTATATCCCAGAAAGGATCCCTCACCAGAACCCAACCACACTGGCCCTCTGATCTTGGACTTACCCGTCTCCAGAACTATGAGAAATACATCATGTTGTTGTTGTTGTTGTTGTTTATTTTTGAGGTGCTGGGGATAGAACTCAAGACCCGCCCATGCTTGGCAAGTGCTCTACCACTGAGCTACAATCCCAGCCCTAAATTCATGTTATTTATAAGCTGCCCAGTTTGTGGTATTTTCTTTGAGCAGCCCAAACAGCCTTGCTTAACACAGGCCTGCATAGCTTTTTCTATTTAATCATCTACTGGTTATTATCTCTTCCCAAGGGACAACCCTCAACCCATGGAAGTTTCCTCAGAGTTGATTTGGAAAATTCTCTTCATATGGAGAAATGATACTAAAGACATGATGAAAGTCAATTTCATGATGAAGGTCAATTTCCTTGCATGACAGTGAAAGGTAAGGTCCGACTATTGGAAGCCACTAATAAACAACATGAATTAGGAATCTGCTTCACCAATCCTGACCCCAACTCTACCTCCATCCTCCCCTCCAAGCAGGTGGAAGACCCACCCTCCCCTGGAAACTGAACTGGGAGCAGCTGTACCACTTTCCCATACTTACTTCCCAGGTCTCTGGAAGTGTGGGGCAGGGGACTCAAATGGAGCATTTAAAGGTCAGCAGCCATCTAGGAACCACAGGTAAACCAACCCCTGCCCTCTCATCCTTCTTTTTCCCAAACCATGCTCTCACCATGTTACGGTGAATAAAGATCATTTCAGTAAATCCCATTTCTGATGCAACTACAAAGTTTCCAAGTCCCAAAGACCACCCATCTCTGAGATGATTTGCAACTTTGAGGTCCCCAAGTCCACCTTCGGGTTATTTTTTTTTCCTTTGAGGTTATTAATTTGGCAGAAAGACCCACAGAACTCACTAAAAGCTGTTTACAGCTGGCTCCAGTTTAATACAGTGAAAAATACAGATGAAAAGTAACCGAGGGAAGAGAAACCTAAGGCAGGGCTCAGGAGAGTTTCAAACAAAGGAGCAGTGCTCAGAACTTCCAGATGTCCTGTCCTAGAGAAGTTGTATAGACTGCGCTTACTCCTCTCAGAAATTATGTGTGAAAATACATACGGGTTATTGCTAACCAGGAAAGCTTCTAAAGTTATGGTATCTAAAGTTTTTATACCTGGTCATATACACATGGTCTCTCCACCTGCGTGACTGACCTTAGTCTCTGGCCCTATCAAGAGGCTAAGCTGAGGCTATTTGGACCAAAACCGCCACCATAAACCACGTTGTTAACATAGACTATCTGGCATGGTCCAAGATCCCCAGTAAATTAAAATACTCTTATCAAGCAGGACATTCCAAGGTTTAGAGATCACCTCTCAGGAGCCAAGGGCAAAGGCCAGGCCTCTGGGCAAGAGGAATCCTTTACTACACACCTTTATAGACAAAATTATGACAGTCAAACATGAACCTTTCAAAATGGGCCCAACTGGTTTTATGGGCCCATACTTAATGTTCAACAAGTCATTCAAAAATTTAGCAAGTAATTTCTGTGATACTGGACACTAAACAAGAACTCACTCCCTTTGTTTCTAGCCATCTGAATATATCTGTTTCTGTTTGAAAGAAATGTGTGTATTAGTCCATTTCCTAGCTAACTTTATAAATAAAAGAGGTTTACTTAGCTCATGGTTCTGGCAATTTCAAAGCAAGGCACCAACATTGTCTTGGCTCTGGTGAGGATTTCATGGCAGATGGTGAATGGTGAAAGAACTTCACAATACCAGGAGCACCTGTAGGCGCAACTGACCACATTTAAAACAAACAGGAAGCCAGTGACTGACTCAGGAGCCAGGCTCTCTTATAACAACCCATTCTCATAAGAGTTGAGAGGTCCCATGGAGATACCTTAATTCCTTCTGAGCATAGTTTTCCCAATGACCTAGGGACTTCCCACTAGGCTCTACTACTTAAAAGTCCCACTACTTCTCACCCCACTAGGGATCAAGCTCCTGACACAAGAACCCTTGGGGATCTTATTCAAACTAGATCCAAACCACCACACCATGACTAAGCTTTTAACAAGCAAGCCCAATTCTTTTCAGGTCTGTTTCTCAAAAGGGCTAGAAAACTGTTTCCCCTTCTTTGTGTATTTATCTCCCTTGGGCTTTCACTTGTCAGAAGGGAATTAGCCAATTGTTACTTACTTACTGGTTGTAATGAGATTTAGATTCAGATTAAAGATGAGGGATGCAATATTCTCATAAAGAAGAGGAGAGAGAAAGTCTGTTAAAAAAAAAAAAAACACATAAGACATCAAATAATCTGGTGGAACTGCATCTAAATCAACAACTCAGGAGGAGGAGCCAAGGAGTACAATCCACATCAGAGCTCCTCTCAGAATTTCCATATAATGAGGAACTTGTTCCCTGTATGAAGAAATAACTCTGAAGATTCAGAGAATTGAATCTCTCTCCCTGATGCTATATATGGTATAAGAAATGGGACCAATCTCTACTTGGTGGAACAAGATGTTTCCATAGAAAAATTCAATGAAAGAGTTTTCCCAAATTGCAGTTCATTGTATCAGTGAATTGCCCTATACAATTGAAAGGTAATTAAATACAATTTATCTTATATGTTTGTATCTTTGATTCCATTGTATGAACAAGAATCTGATCTAGTAACAAATTATATTGCAGATTTTAATGTTTGACATATTAATGTATCAGAGTGTTTTGTTTAGAAAAGAAAGGGCTAGGGATATAGCTCAACATAAAGTGCTTGTCTCTCATGCACAGGCCCTAGGTTCAATTCCCAGCACCACACAGAAAGAAAGAGAGAGAGAGAGAGAGAGAGAGAGAAAGAAAGAGAGAGAGAGAAGGCCTAATGTGGGTTGTGGCTCAGCAGTTGAGCGCTCACCAACCACGGTCGAGGCCCTGAGTTCGATCCTCAGCACCACATAAAAATAAACAAATTAATTAAAGATATTATATCAAATTATAACTAAAAAATAAATATTTTTTAAAAAAGAAAAGAAAACATAATGTGTAATGACTTCTAGGTGACCTGCCCAACATAAGAGCTGGCTGCCATGGTGCACACATTTAATCCCAGTACCTGGGAGGCTGAAGCAGGAGAATGGCAAGTTCAAGGCCAGCCTCACCAACTTAGTGAGGCTCTCAAAATAAAAGGGTTGGGGGTATCTCAATGACAGAGTACTTGCCTAGCATACACAAGGCTCTGGATTCATCACCCAATACTGCTAAATAAATAAATACAGAAGAATGAAATTGAGGGCTTTTGGGGGAATGAGGTTTGTTTTGTTTGTTTATTTGTTTGTTTTTTTTTTTGGTTGTTGTTGTTTGCTTTTTGTACCAGGCATTGAACCCAGGAGCACTTAACCACTGAGCCACATCCCCAGCCCTTTTTACTTTTTATTTTGAGATAGGGTCTCACTAAGTTGCTTAGGGCCTCACTAAATTGCTAAGGCTGGCTTGAACTTGTGACCTTCCTGCCTCAGCCTCCCAAGCCACTGGGATTATAGGCAGGCACCAGTGCCCTATCCAAAATTGAGGTTTAATGGTAATATTTATAACCAAACGTTCTCTTTAAATTTTCCATTGTGCTACACCAGCACCCCTAAAAATAAGTACATGTGATCAAAGTTTACTATCATGATCAGACAGAAAAATCAGGTTAAGTCATCATTTTAATGATATGTATTTGCAATGGACCATAACTGATATTGTTT